TAGTATCATATATATCGTAGAATCACTGCAGAAGGCACATTCTTCCCCCTCTCTTCCTCCTCCACTTTGGTACTTTGCTACAAGTTTTTTCTTGAATTCTAGGGCTGGCACTAGAAGCTTTCTTTGGGCCCATGGTGGCTTATTTAGCAGTTACAAGCACTAAAAACAATGGAATACAAAATATATAGCATGTGCGTGTGGGATCGTCCTCCCTGGCTTGTAAACAATGGCACACTGGCTGTACACGAGCTCAGGCCGGGCGGACACGTACGGGACGAATGTCCTTAACCGAGTTCCTGGGCATTAGATGAGCCAATATTTTGACGCAAAAACATGTCGCTATTCGATTTTGGCGTTAGCCGATGCCGCCGTTACCCGAAGGTCCACTTTACATCATTTCACTCCAAGTCTCAGTTTCCAAGAACCTATCGACTGCTTTAAGTGAGGACTTCCTGTACACATTTCTCTTACTCTTGTTTATTTACTTATCTGGGAAAATCACCTGATGACCAGATCAAGTGATTGTCCCAGATATATAAATTAACCACCCCACTATGACAGCTAAGAAGCACAATATACAGTGGACCCCCGCATAACGATATTAATCCGTTCATGAGAGCTCATTGTTATGCAAAATTATCATTATGCGAATGAATTTTCCCCATAAGAAATAATGGAAATCAAATTAATCCGTGCAAGACACCCAAAAGTATGAAAAAAAAATTTTACCACATGAAATATACGTTTTCCTACACACAAAGAGAAGGATACATGCACAATAGTAGAGTAGTACATGCACAGTAAGTGGACCCCCGCATACCGCACGCATCGCATACCGTACAATCCGCATACCGCTCACTTTTTTCGCAAAAATTTTGCCTCGCATACTGCCCAAAAACCCGCTCACCGCTCTTCGTCCGAGACGCGTCCAATGTGCGGCCTGAGCCACGCTCACATGTTCCGCCGGTGGCATTGTTTACCAGCCAGCCTCCGCGGTAACATCCAAGCATACAATCGGAACATTTCGTATTACAGTGTTTTTGGTGATTTTTTCTGGAAAATAAGTGACCATGGGCCCCAAGAAAGCTTCTAGTGCCAACCCTACAGCAATAAGGGTGAGAATTACTATAGAGATGAAGAAAAAGATCATTGATAAGTATGAAAGTGGAGTGCGTGTCTCCGAGCTGGCCAGGTTGTATAATAAACCCCAATCAACCATCGCTACTATTGGTGGTACAGCTGCTGCTGCTGTACCACCGTCAGCTGCTGCTGCACTGTCAGCTGCTGCTGCTGCTGTTGTACCACCGTCAGCTGCTGCTGCTGCTGTTGTACCACCGTCAGCTGCTGCTGCTGCTGTAGTACCGTCTGCTGCTGCTGTAGCATCGTCTGCTGCTGCTGTAGCATCGTCTGCTGCTGCTGTAGCATCGTCTGCTGCTGCTGTAGCATCGTCTGCTGCTGCTGTAGCATCGTCTGCTGCTGCTGTAGCATCGTCTGCTGCTGCTGTAGCATCGTCTGCTGCTGCTGTAGCATCGTCTGCTGCTGCTGTAGCATCGTCTGCTGCTGCTGTAGCATCGTCTGCTGCTGCTGTAGCATCGTCTGTTGCTTCTGTACCACCGTCAGCTGCTGCTGCTGCTGCTGCTGTAGCACCGTTGTTGGTGTGGCTTATTGAGAATACCAAGAAACAATTAACCCCAGAGGGTTAGCCACCCAGGATAACCCAAAAAAGTCAGTGTCATCGAAGACTGTCTAACTTATTTCCATTGGGGTCCTTAATCTTGTCTCCCAGGATGCAACCCACACCAGTTGACTAACCCAGGTGAACAGGCACAATATATACAGTGGACCCCCGCATAGCGACTTTAATCCGTGCAAGAGGGCTGATTGTTATGCGAAATGTTCGGTATGCGAATGAATTTTCCCCATAAGAAATAATGGAAATCAAATTAATCCGTGCAAGACACCCAAAAGTATGAAAAAAAAATTTTTACCACATGAAATATACATTTTCCTACACACAAAGAGAAGGATACATGCACAATAGTAGAGTAGTACATGCACAATATATATTGTGCATGTACTACTCTACTATTGTGCATGTATCCTTCTCTTTGTGTGTAGGAAAATGTATATTTCATGTGGTAAAAATTTTTTTTTCATACTTTTGGGTGTCTTGCACGGATTAATTTGATTTCCATTATTTCTTATGGGGAAAATTCATTCGCATACCGAACATTTCGCATAACAATCAGCCCTCTTGCACGGATTAAAGTCGCTATGCGGGGGTCCACTGTATATATTGTGCCTGTTCACCTGGGTTAGTCAACTGGTGTGGGTTGCATCCTGGGAGACAAGATTAAGGACCCCAATGGAAATAAGTTAGACAGTCTTCGATGACACTGACTTTTTTGGGTTATCCTGGGTGGCTAACCCTCTGGGGTTAATTGTTTCTTGGTATTCTCAATAAGCCACACCAACAACGGTGCTACAGCAGCAGCAGCAGCTGACAGTGCTACAGCAGCAGCAGCAGCAGCAGCTGACAGTGCAGCAGCAGCTGACAGTGCTACAGCAGCAGCAGCTGACAGTGCTACAGCAGCAGCAGACAATGCTACAGCAGCAGCTGACGGTGCTACAGCAGCAGCAGCAGCTGACGGTGCTACAGCAGCAGCAGCTGACAGTGCTACAGCAGCAGCAGACGATGCTACAGCAGCAGCAGACGATGCTACAGCAGCAGCAGATGGTACTACAGCAGTAGCAGACGGTACTACAGCAACAGCAGCAGCTGACGGTGGTACAGCAGCAGCAGCTGACGGTGCTACAGCAGCAGCTGACGGTGCTACAGCAGCAGCAGCAGCAGCTGGCAGTGCTACAGCAGCAGCAGCTGACGGTGGTACAGCAGCAGCAGCAGCAGCTGACAGTGCTGCAGCAGCAGCTGACAGTGCAGCAGCAGCAGCAGCTGACAGTGCTACAGCAGCAGCAGCAGCTGACAGTGCAGCAGCAGCAGCAGACAATGCTGCAGCAGCAGCAGACAATGCTACAGCAGCAGCAGACGGTACTACAACAGCAGCAGACGGTACTACAACAGCAGCAGCAGCAGCTGACGGTGGTACAGCAGCAGCAGCAGCTGACTGTGCTACAGCAACAGCAGCTGACAGTGCTACAACAGCAGCAGACGATGCTACAGCAGCAGCAGACGATGCTACAGCAGCAGCAGACGGTACTACAGCAGCAGCAGACGGTACAACAGCAGCAGTTGACGGTGGTACAGCAGCAGCAGACGGTGCTACAGCAGCAGCAGCAGCTGATGGTGCTACAGCAGCAGCAGCTGACAGTGCTACAGCAGCAGCAGCAGCTGACGGTGGTACAGCAGCAGCAGCAGCTGACGGTGCTACAGCAGCAGCAGCAGCTGACGGTGCTACAGCAGCAGCAGCAGCTGACGGTGCTACAGCAGCAACAGCATCAGCAGTTGACCATGGTACCACAGTATTTCGATAATATTTCTCACCCTTTTTACCACAGGGTTGGCACTAGAAGCTTTCTTGGGGCCCATGGTCACTTATTTTGCAGATAAAATCACCAAAAACACTGTAATAATACGAAATGTTACGATTGTATGCTTGGATGTTACCGCGGAGGCTGGCTTGTAAACAATGCCACCAGCGGAACATGTGAGGCTGGCTCAGGCCGCACATTAGACGCGTCTCGGACGAATAGTGTTGAGCGGGTTTTTTAGCGGTATGCGAGGCAAAATCTTAGCGATAAAATGTATCGGTATGCGGATTTAACATTATGTGATGCCAACGGTATGCGGGGGTCCACTGTAGAATATACAGTAGAACCCCCATATTCACTGATACAGTATCCGTGGTTTCAGTTATCCACGGTTTACTGTGGCTCAAAAATACCTCTTAATGTTGCATAATAATGGCCCCAAAGCTCAGAAGTAGAAAAGCTGGCAGTTCTTTAAAGCCTAAGAGAAGCCAGGAAGTGCTTCTCATCAGTGAAAAAGAGATAATTCTCCACTTGTGCTTAATTTATCAATCAAACTTTATAATAGATATGTATAGGACTTTTATATAGGGTTTGCTACCATCCATGGTTCAGTATCCACAGCAGGTCCTCGGAACGTATCATCTACAGACACGGGGGTCCTACTGTACATTGTTATACGATTAGAATACCAGTGGAGGCAATAAAGCTGAAGCAAAGTGGAAGGCAGCTCCAATTCCCTGGTTGAAGAGCCATTCACTGCTATCAAGGCACTCCCTTGAAGGGAGAATACCAGTGGAGGATAATCATTATGTAGTAACAGTTTATGTGAACATAAAAGGAAAAATTGAAAAAGCTAATTAAACAATGTAAAATTCCCTATCCTAGGTAGTAGGTCGGTAGACAGCAACCACCCAGGGAGGTACTACCATACTGCCAAGTGAGTAAAATGGAAACCTGTAATGGTAGGATTGCTGGTCTCTCTTTTATATCTCATAAACATGTAAGATTTCAGGAACCTCTCTATTTCTACTTACATTTAGGTCACACTACACGTGCATGTACAAGCATATATATATATACACACACCCCTCTGGGTTTTCTTCTATTTTCTTAATAGTTCTTGTTTATTTCCTCTTACCTCCATGGGGAAGTGGAACAGAAGTCTTCCTCCATAAGCCATGTGTGTCGTAAGAGGCAACTAAAATGCCGGGAGCAAGAGGCTAGTAACCCCATCTCCTGTATACATTACTAAATTTATAAGAGAAACTTTCATTTTTCTTTTTGGATCACCTTGCCTTGGTGGGATACAGCTGGTTCATTGAAAAAAAAAATATAAAAACTTCAAGAGAATTTGGAAGTTACACTCAGTAAGACAGCTTTGCTGCATCTCAAAAACTTTATTTAGACAGAAGAAAACTATTAAATTAAGGAGTAACTCACTGCTTTAAACATAGTACTTTTTAGAGACTCTCAGACTGAAAACTAGGAAAATATCGCCAGAAAAAACTAACCTGTAAAACGCTCCATAGAATCCCACAATGAATGGAGAGTTGCATTCATGAAGTACCTTCAATTCACGTATTATTTGGTTTCTCACAGCTGGCTTCACTTCTAAGTGTATTAACTGAAAAAGAGGTCTTTAGTAGTTCAAAGACAGATGATACAGGTTTCTTCTTCAAGATATGCTCTTTTTTTTTTTTTTTTTTTTTTTTTTAGCATACAGTACAGTGAAACCTCTCATTAACCCTTTCAGGGTCAGTCCTGTAAAAATTATGGCTTTGAAGCCAGGGTCGGGCCAGTAAAACTATGCCAAAATTCTAGCAACTTCCAATCTTGCAGGAGAAAGCTGGTAAGCCTACATATGAGAGAATGGATCTGTGTAGTCAGTGTGAGCAGTATAAAAAAAATCCTGCAGCACACAGTGCATAACGAGAAAAAAAGAAAAAACTGCGACAGTGTTTTGTGTAAAATAGCAACTTTGCGATGTTTTCATGTGGGTTTTATGGTTGTATTATTAGTTTTTTGGTCTCATTTGATAGAGTAGAAGATATATATGGAAGATCTGTTGGGCCTTATATTTCACACCCTAGCACTTGTACTGCCATCTGGTGGGTCTAATTTAATTTAGAGCTCAGTGTACCAGATTCTCTTTCATCCTCCCTCTTGGGCAAGTGATCAGACAGGAAAGACTCTTCTCCCATATCTATCTCTATCTCTATCTCTCTATCTCTATCTCTCTATCTCTATCTATATCTCTCTATCTCTCTCTATCTCTCGATCTCTCTCTATCTCTCTCTATCTCTCTCTATCTCTCGATCTCTCTCTATCTCTCGATCTCTCTCTATCTCTCGATCTCTCTCTATCTCTCGATCTCTCTCTATCTCTCGATCTCTCTCTATCTCTCGATCTCTCTCTATCTCTCGATCTCTCTCTATCTCTCGATCTCTCTCTATCTCTCGATCTCTCTCTATCTCTCGATCTCTCTCTATCTCTCGATCTCTCTCTATCTCTCGATCTCTCTCTATCTCTCGATCTCTCTCTATCTCTCTCTATCTCTCTCTATCTCTCTCTATCTCTCTCTATCTCTCTCTCTCTCTCTCTCTATCTCCCCATCTCTCTATCTCCCCATCTCTCTATCTCCCCATCTCTCTATCTCCCCATCTCTCTATCTCCCCATCTCTCTATCTCCCCATCTCTCTATCTCCCCATCTCTCTATCTCCCCATCTCTCTATCTCCCCATCTCTCTATCTCCCCATCTCTCTATCTCCCCATCTCTCTATCTCCCCATCTCTCTATCTCCCCATCTCTCTATCTCCCCATCTATCTCCCCATCTCTCTATCTATCTATTATTTTTTTTATTAGCACACTGGCCTATTCCCACCTAGGCAGGGTGGCCTGAAAAAGAAAAACTTTCACCGTCATTCACTCCATCACTGTCTTGCCAGAAGGGTGCTTTACACTCCAGTTTTTAAACTGCAACATTAACACCCCTCCTTCAGAGTGCAGGCACTGTACTTCTCATCTCCAGGACTCAAGTCCGGCCTGCCAGTTTCCCTGAATCCCTTCATAAATGTTACTTTGCTCACACTCCAACAGCACGTCAAGTATTAAAAACCATTTGTCTCCATTCACTCCTATCAAACACGCTCACGCATGCCTGCTGGAAGTCCAAGCCCTTCGCAGGCAAAACCTCCTTTACCCCCTCCCTCCAAGTTTTCCTAGGCTGACCCCTACCCCGCCTTCCTTCCACTACAGACTGATACACTCTTGAAGTCATTCTTGTTTCGCTCCATTCTCTCTACATGTCCGAACCACCTCAACAACCCTTCCTCAGTACTCTGGACAACAGTTTTGGCAATCCCACACCTCCTCCTAACTTCCAAACTACGAATTCTCTGCATTATATTCACGCCACACATTGCCCTCAGACATGACATCTCCACTGCCTCCAGCCTTCTCCTCGTTGCAACATTCATCACCCATGCTTCACAACCATATAAGAGCGTTGGTAAAACTATACTTTCATACATTCCCCTCTTTGCCTCCAAGGACAAAGTTCTTTGTCTCCATAGACTCCTAAGTGCACCGCTCACCCTTTTCCCCCTCATCAATTCTATGATTCACCTCATCTTTAATAGATCCATCCGTTGACATGTCCACTCCCAAATATCTGAATACATTCACCTCCTCCATACTCTCTCCCTCCAATCTGATATCCAATCATTCATCACCTAATCTTTTTGTTATCCTCATAACCTTACTCTTTCCTGTATTCACTTTTAATTTTCTTCTTTTACATACCCTACCAAATTCATCCACCAACCTCTGCAACTTCTCTTCAGAATCTCCCAAGAGCACAGTGTCATCAGCAAAGAGCAACTGTGACAACTCCCACTTTATGTGTGATTCTTTATCTTTTAACTCCACGCCTCTTGCCAAGACCCTCGCATTTACTTCTCTTACAACCCCATCTATAAATATATTAAACAACCACAGTGACATCACACATCCTTGTCTAAGGCCTACTTTTACTGGGAAATAATCTCCCTCTTTCCTACATACTCTAACTTGAGCCTCACTATCCTCGTAAAAACTCTTCACTGCTTTCAGTGAATGGTATAGGAGGCAGTCCTATACCTTACACCTGCAACATCTGCCACATTGCCCCCCTATCCACCCTGTCATACACGTTTTCCAAATCCATAAATGCCACAAAAACCTCTTTAGCCTTATCTAAATACTGTTCACTTATATGTTTCACTGTAAACACCTGGTCCACACACCCCCTACCTTTCCTAAAGCCTCCTTGTTCATCTGCTATTCTATTCTCCGTCTTACTCTTAATTCTTTCAATAATAACCCTACCATACACTTTACCAGGTATACTCAACAGACTTATCCCCCTATAATTTTTGCACTCTCTTTTGTCCCCTTTGCCTTTTTACAAAGAAACTATGCATGCTCTCTGCCAATCCCTAGGTACCTTACCCTCTTCCATACATTTATTAAATAATAGCACCAACCACTCCAAAACTATATCCCCACCTGCTTTTAACATTTCTATCTTTATCCCATCAATCCCAGCTGCCTTACCCCCTTTCATTTTACCTACTGCCTCACGAACTTCCCCCACACTCACAACTGACTCTTCCTCACTCCTGCAAGATGTTATTTCTCCTTGCCCTATACATGAAATCACAGCTTCCCTATCTTCATCAACATTTAACAATTCCTCAAAATATTCCTTCCATCTTCCCAATACCTCTAACTCTCCATTTAATAACTCTCCTCTCCTATTTTTAACTGACAAATCCATTTGTTCTCTAGGCTTCCTCAGCTTGTTAATCTCACTCCAAAACTTTTTCTTATTTTCAACAAAATTTGTTGATAACATCTCACCCACTCTATCATTTGCTCTCTTTTTACATTGCTTCACCACTCTCTTAACCTCTCTTTTTCTCCATATACTCTTCCCTCCTTGCATCACTTCTACTTTGTAAAAACTTCTCATATGCTAACTTTTTCTCCCTTACTACTCTCTTTACATCATTCCACCAATCGCTCCTCTTCCCTCCCGCACCCACTTTCCTGTAACCACAAACTTCTGCTGAACACTCTAACACTACATTTTTAAACCGACCCCATACCTCTTCAACCCCATTGCCTATGCTCTCATTAGCCCATCTATCTTCCAATAGCTGTTTATATCTTACCCTAACTGCCTCCTCTTTTAGTTTATAAACCTTCACCTCTCTCTTCCCTGATGCTTCTATTCTCCTTGTATCCCATCTACCTTTTACTCTCAGTGTAGCTACAACTAAAAAGTGATCTGATATATCTGTGGCCCCTCTACAAACATGTACATCTATCTATATCTATATCTATCTCTATCTCTATCTCTATCTCTCTCTATCTATATATCTATCTCTCTCTCTCTCACAGACCTCCCGGACTGGCATTGGGCTAGCACCAATCAACTCCTGTGTACCTTACACCCAATAAACCTATGACTTTGCTTCCAAAGACTATTATTCCACCAGAGCTCCAAAAGCCCATGGATGTAATGGCTGAGAAGACGTAGATGGCAGAAAAGTTGAAAGAGGAACAGGTTTAAAGAATGAATCCAGTTTCAACTGTTTGCCACGCTGATGCTGGTATCTTATGATACATTCTCTAAGAATTTTTAAGTGTGGATAATAGGCCTTCACTTTTGTCAGAGTGGTCAGTGTACTTGATGAGAATATCAATCACATCTAATACAACTGATAGCTTTGGTCGCCTCTTAATATCTTCTTCTTCATCATCAAAACTACCATGTTCTTCTATGCGAATTTCTGCATCACTCAACATCTGGTAATTAGGATCACCATTTTATTCTAACCATGCTATCACATCTTACTCTGTACCTTCTGTTTTCTCGCCCTCTTTAGAGTGCAATGAAAATCACTGTCCTCAAACCTCTCAAAGTCCAACTCAGTATCGAGGTTCTATAAAAAAAAAAATTCCAACCTTTAGCTAATGCTGTCCTTTTCAGTTACCTCCATGCTGCTGCAAGGTTAAGGATGACAGATTTCAGGTTATACTTTTCGATGTTCTTCAATATGCAAAGGCCTCTGGTGTCCATTTCCAAATCTTCATCCTACTCAATCACTACCAGTACTTCAAGTATGTAGCTAGATTGGTACAGCCTCAAGCAGGTTGTAATAACCTCTTGATCCATAGGCTGGATCAGGGAGGTGGTATTAGGGGACAGAAACATGACCCTAATTTTACCATCTGTGCTGTTTAGCTTTTCAGCCCTTGGATGAGCAGGTGCATTATCAAACAGAAGACCCTTGACTTACTCCTCAGGCTCTAATTTAAGGACCTCTAGATGGTACTTGCATACTTCAGGGACAAAATGTGTAAATAACCTGAATGTAAAGTATATACAGTATCTACTTCATGTATATTAGCACATCAGTGTAGTTGGTACAACAGTATTTTGCAGTAAACAAGGACATGTGTGAATAGTGGTTTTTGGTGTTGTTAAGGGCTACCAATGTGCAAGCCTCCAACCACCCTCTGCTACTGTTATTTTTATCACTGAAAATGCAAGGGAAATAAGTTTATTTTTTATTGTAATAAACTTATTAATATGTATAAAATAATTTATATTTACAAAAAGCATTCTGATATTTAATTTCAGTGATGAGATGGACAAAACAACCACTTGGCCTGTCATTTTAAACCCAAGAATAACAACACAAACACAGCTTTGACAAGACTGTCACATTATTAACGTAGCCGAGCGGTCAGGCACTAGTAACTCTGTCACTCCCATCTGTGTTCCACCTACACCTTCAGACTTGCAAGATAGTGTTCCGTTGCCTCAAGTGTCCGGGGACACTCAGACTGCCTTGGGTGCACAGCCTATCCCTGCAATGTCTGCTAGTTCGAGTAGTAGTTTCTCCACAGGGGATGCCTTGTCAGAAAACGATTACTTGAAACTAGTAATGCCATCTCTTGTTGATGTGACATGCTGTCTGCAGAAAGACGTCTCCGTTACAGCTAGTGCTCTCACTAGAGTGTCTGTTGTTGTTCCTAATGTTTCAGATGGTGATCCCATCCTAGTTGACAGTTTACCTGGAGTTTACCTGGAGAGAGTTCCGGGGGTCAACGCCCCCGCGGCCCGGTCTGTGACCAGGCCTCCTGGTGGATCAGAGCCTGATCAACCAGGCTGTTGCTGCTGGCTGCACACAAACCAACGTACGAGCCACAGCCCGGCTGGTCAGGAACCGACTTTAGGTGCTTGTCCAGTGCCAGCTTGAAGACTGCCAGGGGTCTGTTGGTAATCCCCCTTATGTATGCTGGGAGGCAGTTGAACAGTCTCGGGCCTGACACTTATTGTATGGTCTCTTAACGTGCTAGTGACACCCCTGCTTTTCATTGCATTGTAAGAAGTTATTTCTCGAGTAACTTTCACATGCTGTTAACGTTTGTAAGTGAAGTTTCTTTATAGCTGATACCTCGTGTCACTGTGTGCGACTCAGATTGAATATCAGCATTGTTGACCGTGTTCATTTATTTTCTCCTGTGCTTGCAGTCTGAGATAGAAGATTCGTTCTCCCTTGCTCATATTGCGTGTTATAGCGTTAATTTTTTCAACCGGGGAGAGTCATCCACTCCACCGAGTTTGTGCATTCCTCCAATAAGAAAGAACCAATCCCATGTGTTCTGGTGATTCGATTCCTGCTCCAGGAAGATCTTATTCTGACTGTGAAGCCACCAGCACCCATTAGTGACTTTGTAATACGCCAAGAATTACTGTATCGAACAGTCGAGTTGAGCACTCCCAGCAGAAGAGTTAGTAATTCCACAGTCGCTAGTGAATGTAGCTGTATCTTTTGTAGATACTTGTTCAGATCGTCCATGTAGCTTTATCTTTTGTAGATGCTCGTTCAGATCTCCCTCAGTCAAGGCATGTGTTAGCCATTGCAGAGGAATTCGATCCTCCCAGAGATGATAACCATTCTGCATATGTAAACCTCACCCTCGCAGAATTGGGTTTAAATGTACATAGTCTGTATAACTAGATGTCCGAGATGAAGTAAATTGTCAACTGTTTGTTATTAACTGATTAGTATTTCAGAAAATTTTTGTTTTTTTTTCGTATTCACGTTCCCTCCGTATTCTGAGAATTTGACAGTAATGATCCGAGTGCGCACCAGATGCCTTTGCTGTTAATTTCACCTTGTATATATATATATATATATATATATATATTCTTCCTCAGAATCCGTAGAGTGCATGAATACAGATCGATCGATCAATTCCATCCCATATTGTACAATGATTTGTTCTTATAGTTTGTAATGCATTACGTTAAAACTCATTACGTTAAAAGTGATTACGTTAACACCCATTACGTAAAATTCATTTTGTTAACATCCAGTATGATACGATCCATTAGTTCTAAGTTATATATGAATTTGTTATTGTTTAGAATCAGCCCAGAACCACCTGCCTGTTCAGCCTATAAGATAGTAGTGTATGTCGAGACGACGTACATAACATGACCGAGCTGTCAGCATAGTTGCTGATCCCTGTGTTGTATAGCATATCATAGTATCATCCATGTGCTTTAGATAGGAGATCCCTTTTAGGCCTGTGACTGTATGACGTCACGGGATACAGCTTGAGTGTGAGGCGAGCTAGCTACCTCGGCTCAGTCAACACTTAAGACATCCAGGCTAGAACACATCTCCCTTTACCAGAGTCTGACAATATATCGTTACCATCCAACAAGTGTGTCTATCTTCAACCCTCAATATCTCCTTTAAGAACCCCTACGACAAAATCATGTTTTTTTATATGTATTTTCTTGAATAGTTTCCATTTACATTATGGTGGGTATTACTCTGGACATATTTATTTACTAAAAAAAACTTGTCTTATGGCTGGTAATATATGGCAGTTTTACTGATGTCTGCAGGTGATAGTTTTTTTTTTGTTGTTGTTGCAGAAGACAGTTGTGGCAGGTAATAGCCTTGGAACTGCCTGTTATATGTTTGCACAGGCATTGTACAGGGTCACATCAACCCTCCCCACACATTTTCCATATCAACAAGCAATGACAGCTATAATGAATAGAAAACTTTTATTTCTGACGAATCACAAAGCTTTAAAAAAAAATTGGTTGTCTTTCTCGAGGGGTTCTAACAAACAAAACCCAATTTCTCCATAGGTTCCTCAGTTCATTTTAGACAATTTTTTGATAAGATGCCATTCTCAACAATGCAATTAATCACCAGTCAACTGTACACTGCACAATACTGTTCGTAACTTTTTATTAGCCTCATTTAATCCATTCATAAATTTTGCAAATGGTATTTTGACTATTTTCACTGCACAGTAGCTAAGATTTTATCAAGCAGACCATCACTGGTCATTGTATTAATGCCTCACCTTCCGTGCCATGATGAGCCCAGACGGCTTGTGTCGTTCCTTGTTTACCACTCCTCCATTCCCTGCTCCCAGCTCACCAAGTTTTTCAAAGTCATCAGCATTTAATTCACCAATCTGTAGAAAAAAAGCACTATTTATATATGTAGTAAATAAAAAAACTGTTCAACTAGTGGCATCCTATATACATATATACATCAAGAAAAAATTATACAGTGACCCTCGAATTTCATAATTAATCCATTCCAGAGAGTCTGACAAAAAGCAAACTTTACGAATGGCAAAACCATTTGCCCATAAGTAATAATGTAACTCCAATTAATTTGTTCCAGACACCCAAAAGTATTAACAAAAGATTTTTTTAACATTAAATATAGATTTACATAAAAAAAAAATGAGACATCATGTATAAAATAATAATATCACACTTACCTTTACTGAAGACTCTTGTTGGTGTATGGAAGACAGGAGGAGGGGAGAGGATGGAGAAGTTACACTGCTGTTTGGAAGGGGAATCCCCTTCCATAAAGACTTTAGCTACCAAGTCCTTAACTGGGGTTACTTCCCATCTTTGTTTTTTAATGCCACTAAGACCAACTTGAGAGTCACTGGACCCCTGTCGCTCAAAAAACTGTTCTAGAGAGCTCCATTTCTGGTGGCTCTTTAAAATTTGCCTAAAGTGGGACAAGACACTGTCATTGTACAAGTTGCTGACACAGCTTGCAACAACTTTGTCAGGGTGATGTTCTTCCACAAACGTTAGCACCTCACTCCACTTTGCACAAATGTCTTTAATCTTTGAAGAAGGCACCTTCTTCCATCTCTCTACCTCCTCCTCTGAAGCAATTTCCTGAGTTGTGGTTTGTTGCTGTTGCAGATGAAGGTCTTGCAGCTATTCAGTGGTTAGATTTTCACTGTGGTCCTCCACCAACTCTCCCACATCCTGGCAACTCACATCCAACCCCATGGAATTCCCCAATACCACAATAGATTCCACAACTGGCATAGAGTTGTCAGGGTCAGCCTCAAACCCTTCAAAATCTTTGTTGCAGACACAATCTGGCCACAATTTTCTCCAAGCAGAGTTCAAAGTCCTGGAAGCCACGCCCTGTTTTTGGCCAATTCCGTTGTTCCAGAAGACCAAATTCATAGCTATTTCTTTAGAACTCAATTTTTTCTATCAGTTGATTACAAGAAACTGCCCATTTACCGATTTGAACTATCCAATAGTGGTCAAAAATTGGCAATTTGGCCAATTTCACACAAATTAAAAAAGATGCCAATTTCAAAATAGAGTCCGGAATAAACAATGTAGACATTATTGGTACTAAAATAACATCCTCTATTCATTAGTCACATCTCTAGGCCCCTCTTATTTACTATAATACAAATTTACTGTTATGCAGACTACTGCATTATTGTAAAAATGGTATAAATAATATCAGTGTACTAGTGAAAAAATATTAGACTCCCCAGTTGACGTGCATTGGATGTGTGGTGTGATTTGCTTACTCTTGAACACTGGTAAAAATCGAACATTTCCTCTACTTTTAGCTCAATATCAAAGTCGTTTTCATAGTGAAACTAATCAAAATCATCTCTGTTTCTGCAATATGTTTTCCACTTTACCACGCGAGACCATGAAAACGAGTATACAACAATAAATACTATATGAAAATACACCTCAAAGTCGGCGTTTTAGTATAAAAAAAAAAAAAAAAAAAAAAAAAAGTCAGTTTTTCTTTTCACATTATGTACTGAGTGCTGCAGGATTTTTTTTATGTGGTGCACAATGACCACACAGATCCATTCTCTCACATGTGGGCCTACCAGCTTTCTCCTGCTTGATTTGAAGCCACTAGAATTACCGAGTACATATACGTCCGAAACACCGACTCGTAAGATGTATATACTATATGACCAAAACAGTCAAAGGGTTAATAACTTACTACCTTTTTCATATACTTGCAACATCTGCCACATTGCTCCCCTATCCACTATCATATGCCTTTTCTAAATCCATAAAGGCAATGAAAACTTCCCTACCTTTATCTAAATACAGTGGACCCCCGCATAGCGACCTTAATCCGTGCAAGAGGGCTGGCTGTTATGCGAAATGTTCGGTATGCGAATGAATTTTCCCGATAAGAAATAATGGAAATCAAATTAATCCGTGCAAGACACCCAAAAGTATAAAAAAAAAATTTTACCACATGAAATGTTAATTTTAATACACACAAACTGAAAAAGGCATGCACAATTACATGACACTTACTTTTATTGAAGATCTGGTGATGATTGATGGGATGGGAGGAGGAGAGAGAGAGAGTGTTAGTATTTAGAAGGGGAATCCCCTTCCATTAAGACTTGAGGTGTCGAGTCCTTTTCTGGGGTTACTTCCTTTCTTCTTTTAATGCCACTAGGACCAGCTTCAGAGTCACTGGACTTCTTTCGCACAACATATCTGTCCATAGTGGCCTGTACCTCTCGTTCCTTTATGACTTCCCTAAAGTGTTTCACAACATTGTCAGTGTAATAGTCACCAGCACGGCTTGCAATAGCTGTGTGAGGGTGATTTTCATCCATGAAGGTTTGCACTTCAAGCCACTTTGCACAGATTTCCTTAATCTTTGTAGTAGGCAATTTCTTCAATTTCTCTCTCCCCTCCTTCGAACCAGTTTCCTCAGGTCTGGCCTCTTGTTGTTGAAGTTGATCTATCAGCTCATCAGTGGTTAGTTTTTCATTGTCCTCCTCCACCAACTCTTCCACATCATCCCCACTAACCTCCAACCCTAAGGACTTTCCCAATGCCACAATGGATTCCTCAACTGGCATAATCCTCTCAGGGTTAGCCTCAAACCCTTCAAAATCCCTTTTGTCTACACATTCTGGCCACAGTTTCTTCCAAGCAGAGTTCAAGGTCCTCTTAGTCACTCCCTCCCAAGCCTTACCTATAAGGTTTATACAATTGAGGGTATTAAAGTGATCTCTCCAAAAGTCTCTTAGAGTCAGTTGAGTTTCTGAGGTCACTACAAAGCACCTTTCAAACAGAGCTTTTGTGTACAGTTTTTTGAAGTTTGCAATAACCTGCTGGTCCATGGGCTGCAGGAGAGGAGTGGTATTAGGAGGCAAAAACTTGACCTTAATGAATTTCATGTCCCCATAAAGTCACTCTGCCACGTCTATAGGATGACCAGGGGCATTGTCTAACACCAGGAGGCACTTAAGTTCTAATTTCTTTTCAGTTAGGTAATCTTTCACATTGGGGGCAAATGCATGGTGTAACCAGTCATAGAAAAAGTCCCTAGTGACCCATGCCTTACTGTTTGCCCTCCACAGCACACACAAATTCTCCTTGAGGACATTCTTTTGCCTGAACGCTCTGTGAGTTTCAGAGTGATACACTAATAAAGGCTTCACTTTGCAATCACCAGTAGCATTGGAACACATCAACAGAGTAAGCCTGTCTTTCATAGGCTTATGTCCTGGGAGTGCCTTTTCCTCCTGAGTAATGTAGGTCCTGCTTGGCATTTTCTTCCAAAACAGGCCTGTTTCATCACAATTAAACACTTGTTCAGGTTTCAGTCCTTCACTGTCTATGTACTCCTTGAATTCCTGCACATATTTTTCAGCTGCTTTGTGGTCCGAACTGGCAGCCTCACCATGCCTTATCACACTATGTATGCCACTACGCCTATTAAATCTCTCAAACCAACCTTTGCTGGCCTTAAATTCACTCACATCATCACTAGTCGCAGGCATTTTTTTAATTAAATCGTCATGCAACTTCCTAGCCTTTTCGCTTATGATCGCTTGAGAAACGCTATCTCCTGCTAGCTGTTTTTCATTTATCCACACCAATAAGAGTCTCTCAACATCTTCCATCACTTGCGATCTCTGTTTCGAAAACACAGTTAAACCTTTGGCAAGAACAGCTTCCTTGATTGCCTTTCTGTTGCCCACAATAGTAGAGATGGTTGATTTGGGTTTCTTGTACAACCTGACCAGGTCGGCGACACGCACTCCACTTTCATACTTATCAATGATCTCTTTCTTCATCTCTATTGGAATTCTCACCCTTATTGCTGTAGGGTTGGAACTAGAAGCTTTCTTGGGGCCCATGGTCACTTATTTTCCAGAAAAAGCACCGAAAACACTGTAATAATACGAAATATTCCGATTGTATGCTTGGATGTTACCGCGGAGGCTGGCTGGTAAACAATGCCACCGGCGGAACATATGAGGCTGGCTCAGGCCGCACATTGGACGCGTCTTGGACGAAGGGCGGTGAGCGGGTTTTTGGACGGTATGCGAGGCAAAATTTTAGCGATCAAAGCATCCGGTATGCGGATTGTACGGTATGCAATGCGTACGGTATGCGGGGGTCCACTGTACTGTTCACATATATGCTTCAATGTAAACGCTTGATTTACACATCCCTTACCCACTCTCAAACCTCCTTGCTCATCCGCAATCCTACATTCTGTCTTACCTCTAATTCTTTCAATAATAACCCTACCGTGCACTTTTCCTGGAATACTCAGTAAACTAATTCCTCTATAATTTTTACAATCTCTTTATCCCCCTTCCCCTTATATAAAGGAACTATACATGCTCTCTGCCAATCCCTAGGTACCTTCCCCTCTTTCTTGTATTTATCAATCAAAAATACCAACCACTCTAACACTATATCCCCCCCCCCCCCCTGCTTTTAACATTCGTCATGATCCCATCACTTCCAGCTGCTTTACCTCCTTTCACTCTACGTAATGCCTCACGCACCTCCCCCACACTCACATCCTGCTCTTCTTCACTCCTAAAAGATGGTATACCTCCCTGGCCAATGCATGAAATTACCAACTTCCTTTCTTCATCAACATTTAAAAGTTCCTCAAAATATTCCTGCCATCTACCCAATACCTCCATCTCCTATCTACTAACTCCCCTACTCTGTTTTTAACTGACAACTCTATTCGTTCCCTAGGCTTTCTTAACTTGTTTAACTCACTCCAAAATTTTTTCTTATTTTCATTAAAATTTCTTGACAGTGCCTCTCCCACTCTATCATCTGCTCTCCTTTTGCACTCTCTCTCACCACTCTCTTTACCAACCTCTTT